ACGATGAAGCAAAAGAAGTTGCCAATTTTGCCAATGATATATTTAATTTAAGCAATCAACAAGTCCCAGCAAGCTCTCTTTTCCCCCACAATATGCCTCTGCCTGAGTTTGTTCGCCGGCATATCCAGTATTCGTGCAACGCACCAGCAACTAGCAAGAAAGATGAATGTGGAGATGGAGTGGAGATGCAAAGACCTTCAGTCACCTCTGAACAGCTAGAAGAAATGCGAATGAAAGGAAACGATTTTTTTAAAAAGGGTCTTTACAATGATGCGTTAAAAATCTATTCTGACGCCATTGACAAATCGAAGAACACAGCTTTCTTTGATGTGAGGTTGTTAAATAATCGAGCATCGGTATATCTTAAACTTGAGCAATATGATGAAGCCTTGCTAGATGCAGAAGAATACATATTACAATGCCCACAATGTTGGAAAGGTTATGCGAGGAAAGCGTTGGCTCTTTTTGAGTTGAAGGATATGCAGGATGCGTGTGTTGCAGCTTCGATGGCTTATTACTACGAAAGGAACGTTTTCCGTGATTTTGAACCTTTTAGGAGAAAATTTGGCTCTTCAATGGAGATGCGTCTGTTTGTGTGTCGCGATACCTCAGATTTGTCAGCAGCCTTGTGGATGGTGAGAACATTTTTATGGCGGAATCTATCCGGAAACAATTCTGAGGATTTGCCTGTTATCATTCTAGAAAACGGTGATTACCTTGTTTCCTCACATACTGTCGACTCCGACCTTTTTTCTAGTGATGGCAAGGAACACGAACTTCCCATTGGAAACTGCATTCTTTTAGGCACTGAAGGTGAATGTTCGGTGACATTTGATGATAATCATAACGTAGTTTTCGATAAGGCTTTTACAGCTCGCAATGTTCGCTTCCACTGTCGCTTTTCTAGCAGTCATTTTCTTCCTGACTCTGTAGTAAAGCTCAGTCACTGTTTTTTTGAGAGTTCTAACCATACTTACTTTTCCTTTTGTTGCAAAGGAAAATTGAGAGCTGATAGTTGTAAGTTTTATAATTGCATCCAAGGTGGGCTTCTGGTTGTTGGTGATGCAGAGGTTGAAAATTCAGAGTTTTTTGGCAATGCAGTAGGTATAGAAGTGGGAGAAGGTGGACGTTTAGTCGTAAGAAAAACTAAAATGTACAGTAATATTAATGGATTCTTTATTAGTTCACAAGCAAAGGAATGCGTTGTAGAAGATTGCGAGCTTTATGACAACGAGAAGAATGGTATTCTTGTTGCTAATTGTGCATCTGATGTTATAATAAAGGGGAACCGTATTTATGATAATGACGAATCTGGGATATTGGTGACTATGAATTCTAACGTATCTATATTGGAGAACGAGATTTTAAGAAACAGTGACTGGGGCATACTTATCAATAGTCTCAGTCAAGCTGTCGTGAAGAAAAATAAAATCCATAATAACCAATGTGGTGGCATTTGTGTAACGGGTCATTCCTCAGGCGAAAAGTCTGTTGTTGAATACAATCACATTTCTTTTAATTCTGGACCTGGAATTTACGAAGAAGGTTCACTGACTAAACGCAAAGAAAATAAGTTAGAGCATAACAAAGAAGAAAGGAATCAATCAACAGCACAAAGTGAAGCCAAGTTATGCTACTGCTGCAAAAAGCCTGACAAGAATTTAAAGAAATGCAGCGATTGCTTTACGGCTCAGTACTGCGGGAAAAAATGCCACAGAAGTGACTGGAAGAACCACAAGGAGATATGCGATCGTTTGTTATATGATGGAAGTATTGTCTTAAACTATGTCCGAGAACCAATTATGAGATATTATTTATCTCGCAATAAACGGATCCCAATGTTTAAGCGAGGACCTGGTATTTTACCCGTCGGTCCAAAATACTGTCCACCACCAAATACGACCACCCGGTTTATCGTTAAGATGAGCGCAGGCGTTGCGATCCTGCAAGGAAACAATTTCGACCCTTCCGTGGTTCGTCTGTACGATCGTAGTCTGAAGATAGATGGGATTCTGACTGGCGCTGATCAAATTTATCATCTCGTCCGGCGGCATGGCGCCATGGGTCAGTTGTTGAAATCCTGGAAAAAACTGTTTATGTGGGTTAAAGGGCCTGAAGATGGAAAACTTCGTGTTTTTATCAACGAGTTTCCTCCATATCAAAACTGGTGAGATACATTTTAGGGAGACATGTGGACGATAGCATATATGGACGGAAACAACGGAAGTTCTGAGCGACGACGAAAACGAGAACGATATTATCAACAATACTACAAACAATATAATTATATTGAGAAAATCATAAACAGTATTACCAACAATATCAATATGTGATATTTGTATAAAAAATTCTAAATCGTGTGAATCCTGGAGTAAACTAGCTGAATTAAAGCGCATTGTGTTGTACTGCACTGTACTGTATTGTGCTGCATTGCATTGTATTATGTAATACATCAAATCCGACTGTGAGTACTGAGTGTCCAAATTCCGTTTAAATCTTTGGGTGACAACAGCAATATTCCTAAATAAACGCACAGACGCCCCAAGCACACGTTGCTGCTATTTACAGAATAACTAGTCTTTAATTAAATAATTCATAGGACGTTGTCATAAATTGAGGAATAAAATTAATTTACAAGTACTACAAGGTGTACTTATTTTTATGTGTTAGTTTGGATGTGATTTGAGCGTCTAATATGTTTACGTCCAGGCATAAATCTCAAAGTGTACCAAGTGTCCCAAAAAAACTTGTGCTGTTTGATTTCATGTAAGGTATATTATAAAAGCTATTACACTCAATTATTGTATGAAGAGGAGGACCAAGTTGCAACACTATCATGTAGTTTACCTGATTCGTATAATAGTCTCCCGTGGTGGTAATTTATCTTTAGAATTTGTTACTGCAAGGTTACTTCATGAGGAAAACAAGCGAAAAAGAGACCTCGAAAAGAATACCAGCCTCTGAGGGTGGAGAGTAAGCTCTGTTATCAAACAAGTATGATCAGGTAAATCCAAGAAACCCTATACCTAACAGAAAGGGTAAATGCGATAACTACGGAATACCAGGACATTGGGCAAGAGAATGTCGTAATCGATCGAAGAAGGACAAATCGCGTGAAGTGAAAGGAAAGAAAGACGGTTCATCGTACAGCGCAACTACTGAACATTCATCATTTTGGTCATCAAAACATGTGAATTGCAAGGATTCGACATGGTACATTGACTCTTCATTGTGCTTCACAGCACATTTCATATGATAAGGAAATGATGGTTGATTATGTTCATTTTGTAAACCCACAAAGAGTTCGTTTGGGTGATAATGGAGTAGTCGAAGCGTTGAGAAAAGGTACAGTCTGGCTTAATATTAAATCTGAAAATGAGTACAAACCGGCTAGATTGGTTGACGTCCTATATGTTCCAGATTTAGCAAAAAATCGCTTCTCTGTAAGCGTTGTTGCTAAGCAAGTATTTTCTGTTGAGCTTCAACAAAGTGGCTCTGTTATTCTTAACAAATGTGGAACTATTTTCCGATCTGGTAAAGTGCAAAACAACCTATATTTCCATCATATCAGTGAAAAGAAAGTTAGTCTAGGACCTGTATGGCAGTTTGTATGCGTTTCATTTAGCACAGGTAATCTCAACTGTTTTAGGGTATAAAATGACCATGGCGGTCAACATGGCATATGTGTCAAAACCTGAATCCGGGACGAAAGTCCTGAAAATAACCCCGCCCTGAAACGGCAGTGCCGACATGCATGTAGCTCTAACTTCCGAAAAGCAAAAGCGACAGCCTTTCTGAAGTGCTTATAGTGTTTAGAAGGGTAGCTTTTAGGGGTGGTTATTGGAAGGAAAAATTTGTCTAAGTATAATATTTTACAAGAAAATGACCATGTACCAGTGTCCACCCCAGGTCAACTGCTAATTATGCATAAACGAGACCATAGAAAACAAAGAATGTTTAATGATTTAGACTCTGTTGACTGCACTGATCTGTACTAAGACTGGATAACGCATCTATAGTATACAAAAGTGAAACCGGAAGTCACCGGCCGCCACCCGATTCAAGGGTCCCACTTTTGTATAGATTTGTATTACAGATGGTAGTTTTTCGCGTTTTTTGCCTTGGCTACGTTTCTGACCGGGCCAGTTTTACAATCACAAAAATAGAAGCATACAAGAAGAATTTTGAGCAAAAAATTTGGAGTATTATAAATGGCTTTATAACGCCGCGAAACAGGATTTACAATTTTGAAAGAGTGGAGAGCCTCAGACTTTGTTTATTAACACGAGCTCGTTTTGCTTCTTTCATACAAAATCAACTCAAAATATACAAGAATTACTGTTACTGGACGAATGGAAATTTGAAGAAATGAAGCAGCTACATTGTGAACGAAAGCGTACAGAGGTTAGTTTTAAAATACCTTGACGCTAATTTTATTTAGTCATTGTTAATTAGTCATTAACAATTATTCGTTAATTAGTCATTTAGTCATTATATCTGTAGTGTGACTAATTCTGAATTTTCTAATTTCTTTGAGACATTTTATTTACAGGAGGTAAACAAAGCGAACAGAGAGAAGTTCGTATGTCACAATCAGGACTCATGGCATTGAGGCGCGCAGAATACGCTGGACACTCTGGCATTGAATGACTATCCGTGAAGCCAAACTGTGCACAAACAATTTTTTTCAAGTGCAAAACCAAAGAATAATGATGAAAGACATATATTTACAGAATCAAGCTTCATTCAGTGTAGTGTAAGGTGGTTTTATTTGTTAATATCAATAATTAGATTTACCGATAAAGTATGCTCGGTTTCGACACATTTTCAATTTTTACAAAGTTTGCGCGCTTACCATTTTTGTCAAATGGTAGAGCAGAAAGATATTATTGGCGATTTGTGTTGACTAATGTTAGTAGTTTATAGAAAAGTTAAAGTCATATGCCAATCAAGTGCCACGATTTTGAAATAAGCTTTCAAAGTTGATATATTTTGAGACGATATCCGTTATCCGTTCAGGGAGGTCAATAACTGCGCTGTTTTCTATTTTATACCAAAGAATAATTATCTAAGTCATATCACCAACAAAAATAGAAGGATAAGTCTATATTTCTGAGCAAAAAAATTGAAATTTAGGTATGAATTTGATTTAAAAAATGGCGCCGAAAATATGTCAATATTTTGCCTTCATTCGGAGTTCAAGTTGGTTACCACTAGCCGATCGAACATTAATCGCCCCCAAAAATAATTTAAAGGAAATTTGAGTAAAATGAAATCGATTTTAGTTGTTCCCAAGGATAGATCTTCAAAATACTAGAGTATGAGAGAAATCTATTTTTGAGCCCCATATTGACCTGGAGGTTTTTACGGAGACAGCCTCTTAAGTCTATACTCACGCTAGATCTGCTGAACTATACTGATAGCGGGCGCATGTACGCTCAGCGTACCTATTTTTAACAGAATGCTGGCCGTATTCAAAGACACCTTACGCAATTCCAAGTGAAAGATGATATTTAATACAGAAGTGTATTAAATTGTGTATACATGATATTTTCCTTTTTCGTCTGCCAATGTTGACTATATTTAGCTAAATTGTCAGTTAAAGGACATCGGCAATGGATTTTTTTATCGCCTTGTTTTGTTCTCTATAATTGTCTTAGTCAAGATATGTATTTTATTTGCGATGAAAATATCTCAATTTGTAGTAAAGAGCGAATGAATTAGGTCTAATTATGCATATCGCCCGCCATTTTGAAAGCACATTTTGGAAAATTATCTTTCATGTCATTTGAGGCCTCTGACGTCATTGGCAGGGGAGAAGCAAAACAATACGCTGTCGCTACTATAGCTTTTGATCAGTTTTAACTTTTGTGAAGAATTTTCGCCGGTTCTAGGCTTTCTATGGACGAAATTCACGAGAATCAGTTAGGTGAAGTGTTACCTTATCAGTTTGAACCTGTTTTAAACAAAAATACTGGTAGCAGTGGGGCAGAAGCGATTCCGAGTAATCCGAGAGCGAGTCGTCCTCAAAGGCTCAGACGACGACTTGAGACTTCGATGAAGCATTCGAGGCTGAGAATATCTGGCGTCTTAAATCGCGCAGTTGGTGCAAGTGTGGCCACTGTCCCTTGCAAACAAAGAGTACGATGAGTACGACCCTTTAGTCACAAATGCTGGAGGAAGCGGTCAATGTTAGTTTTAGTTAGCTGTGGGTTAGTTATGGTATTTATAGTTTTACTTCGTTTGGTCAAAATTTTCTAATGATGTCGTTTGTAGTGCAGAAGGTAGTTCTTCGATGATTAACGTATGTTCGGCCTCTAAAGTTGTTAGAGCTGCATTTACAGTCCTATTCAGTTCTGGCGATTTGTTCTAGTGATTTATTCTGCGTCGTTGCTTCCGCTTCTAAGTTTGCAGTATCAAATAACTGTCTAAACCACGGTGATTCTGTTGTTATGAATGTCTGTGTTTTGAATGTGTGTGATTTACTTGTGTGTTTCAGCGAGGTCTGACTTCTGAGTGTATTTTGATCCTAACTGTGGAGCATAAATCAACTAAATATCTTCAGATATCTGAACTGGCTATTATGTCTTCCTCGCAAACTGCGTCTGAGTCTATGCGAACGTCTGCTTTTATATCGCTTAGATTACTCGCAAGTCGCAACCGGCAAATTTTCATCCTCTGTTGATGAAAGTGACTTTAATGACCACTCTTCAAGATTCTAAATTGTGAAACAATGAAGAAAAATAAGGACATTGAAGAAACAGAATTTATTAAAGCTATTGGTATTAAAATGTATCTTTCAAGTACTGGTATCTTTTGACGTTGTCTCCTCTCGGTTTGTCTCCTTGTTCTCTTCGATTGTGACGATGCAGATACGTTAGAAACGCTAGCGCTGGTCGTAGGCTTGTCAAGCGTTGGTAAACATTGGGCTTTACGCGCAAACTCGTTTTCTCTGTGTATCCAATGCTTTCGAGGAATTGAGGAGAATGCGAGGGTTCATATGACTCCTCGGCAAAATGAAGCGAGCAAATTATTGTACAAAGTGAGGGTTTGAATGCTTTTCGTTTGCAAAATTCTTCCCAGGCCGCTCTATACGGCTCTTCTGCTCAGGCATTTTGCCGCAAGGAAAACGAAAGAAATTAACGTTTCTATTTGTCTTCAGTTGACTATC